GGGGTTTGTGGAAAAACAGGATGGGGTTTGTGTCTGGCTACACCACCTCTATTCTACTGGCTGGTGGAGTCTGTTCGTGCCATTCCAGGGGTGCAGGAGGCGGGGGCCAGAACGGGGGGAGGAGCAGGGCTAGGAGGAAGGGGCCAGAACGGGGGAGGGGGTGCAGGGCTAGCAGGGAGGGGGCCCAGCCTGAGGACTTGGGGGCCACTGCAGCCTGGCTCCCTCAGCACAGCCTAGCTCACTGGGCTGCGGAAGCAGCTACTAGCAATAGCAGGGGCCAGAACGGGGGAGGGGGTGCAGGGCTAGCAGGGAGGGGGCCCAGCCTGAGGACTTGGGGGCCACTGCAGCCTGGCTCCCTCAGCACAGCCTAGCTCACTGGGCTGCGGAAGCAGCTACTAGCAATAGCAGGTTGTTATCCTCTCTGGCCGGGAAGTGGATGGGGGTGTGCACACTTCCCCCAGCATGTGCAACAGCACTGACCTTTGCAGAGCCCATCCCCCCCATGCTAGATTGACATGAGGCCTGGAACTATGGTGCCTCCTCTGTGATGTGGGGCAGGCCCAGCACCAGGGGAGCTGTCCTCAAGAAATTGTCATGCTTGAACTGCGTGTTAAGTCCGTGCCCCACAGAAGTCAGTGGGGATGTTACCATTAACTGATGTCAGCTTAGACTCCAAGTCCAGAATCTACATACCCCAGGGCTGTGTCTACACTGGCAAGTTATTCCGGAAAATCAGCCACTTTTCCGAAAAACTTGCCAGCTGTCTACACTGGCCACTTGAATTTCCGGAAAAGCACTGACGATCTAATGTAAAATCATCAGTGCTTTTCCGGAAAAACTATGCTGCTCCCGTTCGGGCAAAAGTCTTTTTCCGGAAAACTGTTCCGGAAAAGGGCCAGTGTAGACAGCACAGTAGTGTTTTCCGCAAAAAAGCCCCGATTGCGAAAATGACGATCGGGGCTTTTTTGCGGAAAAGTGTGTTTAGATTGGCACGGACGCTTTTCCGCAAAAAGTGCTTTTGCAGAAAAGCATCCATACCAATCTAGACGCTCTGTTCCAAAAATGCTTTTAACGGGAAACTTTTCCATTAAAAGCATTTCTGGAAAATCATGCCAGTCTAGACGTAGCCATGGAGTGTGGGGTTTACCAATAGAGGCAGCCAGGATGCTACATGTGTGAAGTAGCAACAGTGAGAACCAAACCAATGTAAGCCATTAAAGCGCGTCTAGATTGGCCACGGACGCTTTTCTGGAAAAAGTGCTTTTCCGGAAAAGTGTCCTGCCAATCTAGATGCGCTTTTCTGAAAATGCTTTTAACGGAAAACTTTTCCATTAAAAGCATTTCCGGAAAATCATGCCAGTGTAGACATAGCCCAGGTGTCAATAACCAGATAAACTAGAATAGGGGGCCAACTAGAAGTTGGACTGCCAATCAGGACCAAAATCAGAAAAGGGATATGCCATAGGCAACACTCTTCATGAAGTGAACTATTTTTAGTCCCGTCACAGACCCCCAACCAGGTTGGCTACATGTATGCATGGTATATATGTACCCCTAGACTAATGGCTATATCAGAGGTCTCCAGACCTGTAGGCCAGGGGTGGGGAACCTAAGACCTGGGGGCCAGATGCAGCTCCCGGCTTGCCTGGATCTGGCCCGAGGCTCAGGGCTCCCTCCAGTATTGGGAGAGTGGGTGGTTGGGTTTTTTTTTTTTTGGTTCCTCAGTTGCGTGCAGCCCCCGCTATATCTGTGGGACAGTGGCACTGACCCAAAAAAGGTTCCCCACCCCTGCTCCAGACCTTGTAACTTTTAATTCATTACTCCTAGGTGTAGAAGCATTTCATTTTCATTGTTTGATATTGCTAAACCTGTTTCCCTGTGCACACCCAAACTGACAACAAAATTTCCATCGCTAATAAAAGAAATATACAGCTAGCCAATGGATGAAAAATGCGCTTGAGAACTTGCTATGGTCAAGATCCAATGATTTAGAATTTGGAATGCGGCTCGTTACTAATGGACTAGCATAGGAACAGTAAACCGGTGTGACTTAGAGATGTTTAGTTGATAGGTTTTGACATGATGTTGACAATTTGTGTTTTAACAGTTTGTAAAGCTTTTTGAATATTAACATCACTTGTCATAAGTCTGATCCGCCACCCCACTAATTTTCCACTGCTTACATGCCACTTCGTGCCAACAAACTCAATAAACATGTCACTGCTTTATTAACTAATCATAATAATAAACAAATACTGGACACTTCAGAGTCATTAAATCAAGATTAAAATGTTCTGTCTAGTTCAACCACAAGTTATTGGTCCAGATACAGGAATCACAGCATGAAATTCTGCAGCCATGTCAGATTAGCGGTCTTGTCTGGTGTTAAAATCTGTGATTCTCAGAATGCATTGCATCACCCCCATTTGACAATTGAGGAAATGTTAAGGAGAAGTGACACAGCACGTCAAGGGCAGAGCGAGGAACAGAACTCAGCCATGTCACCCAGCCAATAGCTATGTTAAATCCAACCTTTGAAAAAGCTGTGCTGAAACTCTGTGACTGTGTCAGTCTAATATTTCTAACATCTCTATGGGGGAACGAGAAACACGCAGCTTGTGCAGGAGGCCTTTTCTTTGTGTGTCTAGCTCACATCTGGAATGGGTCTGATGACTACATTCATTGACACAGTCCTGTTGGAACAGCTCAGGTACTGTCAGAGATCCCCAGGCTAAATCCCAGCCTTTTATCAAATAGCATTCCTGGTCGGCCTTGCCAATGCAGGTGAAGCAGATAAAATCAAGTAAATGAATATTTCACATTTCTCTGGAACCTTTTGCCGTCAGATATTTACAAGTGACTGACAACAGCGGCTTGGTGTGGAAACACTGTCCAGACAACCTAACTATAGCTGCTACTACAATGCCAGCAGGAAGAATGGGGGAACACCATCTTGAAATCACTTCTCCCTGCTCTGGAATTTGAAACTGGCTTTCCTCGAAGCTGGTGACTGGAGGCGCTTAAGAGATATCTATACTTGCACCCTAGTTCGAACCAGGGATGCAAATGTAGGCATTCGAAATAGACGATGAGGCGGGGATTTAAATATCCCGCGTTTCATTAGCATTGATCTCGCCGGCGCGTTACTCCGATCAACAGCTGTTTCGAAAGTGAAAGTGCGCGCCGGGACGCATTAGTTCGAACCAAACCCCTTGGTTTGAACTAATGTTACTCCTCAAAAAATGAGGAGTTCGAACCAAGGAGTTTGGTTCGAACTAACGCGTCCTGGCGCGCACTTTCACTTTAGAAACAGCTGTTGATC